AAATTATGAAAGACGTATTTTATTATTCATTATTATCTGTAGCATGTTTCATCATTATACATTATTCATTCATTTTATAGCGTACATTTGCACAAGTCAATAAAATCATCTGATTAGAATTAATATAATTACTAAAGAAGTTTAACAAAATCTTGAATTGTTAAAATAAAAATTCATTCATCTTCGATATAAAAAGTTTATGTCTTTAAATAAAATCATTTTTTAATGTATTATTGCATAGAATAAAATATTCCCACATCAATTATTATATGAGCATTACTTAAATTTATTTAATACCTTCGTTAAGCAATAAATAAGGATTAATTTATACTCTACGTGATGTATAATCACTGTAGTTGTTAATGACTCTTCTAGTTAATGCAATCTTAAAAATTCAATATTAATAATAAAAATGATCACGCAATTATTTTAAATACTTATTTTCTACACAATTTAAAAAATGGTAAGTATTAAATCTCTTTATCAGTCTGTCAAGCTACTCTAAGAACAGATTTACACTGTTTCACCTATACAACCTAGACCACAACACATGCGTCATCGGTAAACCAGAGCTCACTTGTCGAGTGGCTACTCCGCCCGTATAAAAAGGGTTGAAGTAGCGGGTTGCAGGAAAACAAACGCGGTGCAGAACGCGTAAATCTCTCTACACTACTGAATCAAACCCGGCGGAATTCTCTTTCAAGATATTCCCTCCTAACGTTGTACGAATCATCGAGGGATCGCGGAGTCAGAATCGGGATCGATTCAATTCCAGCTCGCAAATTGTCACCACCCGGCAGGATTTCAAACGGAACCGCAAGCTGAGGTTCGCTACGCGAGGCCCTGTTCGTGTCAGAATGTTGACGTATCGTCCTGCTTGGCATCCTGGATATGCAAACGGGAAATCGGGGAACACTTTGGACGGGCAACCGCACCCACTGAATATACCAACGAATAGAGGCAGGTAACGGATTTTCCCTACGGCCTGTCCGCACTCGTCTTTCTCTATCCTCTTATTTCATAGTACTTCTTTTCCCTCTCGAATCGCGGATTTCATTGTTATCGACTCCATTCTAATCTTATTTCGACTCCTTTTTTGTACTGATTCGCTTACTACCGGATAGCTCGTATTGACCTTTTCCATTCAGCCTCATGGAATCCTTTCTAGAGATTGTCCTTCTGAATTCAATTATTTGCTATTTTTACCATTAATCGTATTCTGTAAGATTTCTTCAACTGTTTCAGTTTTATCCTATTTTTTACAAATATCGATTTATTTAATAAGTAAAATTCATATCAGTATTTATCTTCCATTTACCTTTTTGATGAAAACTAATTATCCTTGAAAACGCATTTTTATATGAATAAGTACTTACAACTAGTTATTGAAGAGAAAGAAGCTACAACACAGAGAATTTTCAATTGCATCCAATTCTCGTATGCCAGAGAGAGAGAGAGAGAGGATAAGAAATTTCTGACACCTGGTTCATCCAGTTGAGAGGCTCTAAGGAGCTATTTCTGTTTTCCCTGCTACGCCCAGGTCCCTGTATTTCCCGAGGAAAGTTTCCCCACACAGGCTGATTTTCAAACAATATTCGCGTGTCCATGGGTGTTTGTCCAGAGAATTCCCTCTGGAAATCTGCAGACCCACCGAATATGGGAACAATTTTTTTTAAACACAGCACGAAGTATCGCAATTCGTGTAATTCACTTTTAACGCAAAGTAACCAGCCAATTCCTCTCAAGTTATTTGCGAATTATCTCCGTTTAATATTTAAGCGACGAGTGGAGTAAATGGTATGAGAAACTCTCTGTGGAAATATGGAAAACTTTTTTTCGATTAGCGAGGAACCTCTTCAGATTTCAAACCAATTTCGCAGATAGCTTTCAAAGGATTAATACAGTCCCCTGTTGTTTGAACGAAACATTTTTGTGGTAGAAAATCCGGGTAAACACTCTTTTCCCTCTGCCATAAAAATTATATATAAATACACTTGGCATGCTGTGGTTTCGCCAGTTAAGAATATGAAATTATATTTTTGCATGTAGAAGGAGCGGCCACGTGGCGAAGGACCTGACCCGGGGAGACGTGAAAATGCAAATTTTATGTAAATGACCGAGAACGGAAATAGCTATGGCTACGGACCGCTTTGAACAGGTGACATCCTGTGCTCTTAACAGGGCGAAAGAGACTCTCTTGTCGCTTTATCTTCGCCAAGGGTCTATAGGGAGGGAGATGGACAGCTATGGATACTCAAACACGCTACGAGTGAATCTTTAAGCATTGAATAATTTCTCGTTCCTGTTTCTATTTATCGTCTACTTGTGTACAACGTTGGCTAAAAATAATCGTATAAAATGTCTCAATTCCATGAATAATTAAAATTCTCGAACAAACATTTGGGATGAACAACTAGAATAATAAGAAATAGAATATCTGCTGGAATTTCTAATTCATTCTTCGTTTTATACACACAGATACTTTATAATTCTCTATGAGTATAATATTTTACTTTCTTACATATTTTACCTGACACATTGTAATTATTTTTAATCCCCCCATAGATTGTGCCCGTGTGTGAAAGCGCTTCCGCTCCTTGAAAAAGGGCGGAAAAAGGCAAGATAATGCATCTTTAATGGTGTGTAAACGCGTCTCGGAGAAAAGTTTCTATTGTGTAGAGAGCATCGTCGGCGACGACGTCGCCACGTATTTTTATGACCGCTCCGTTGTAAGTGGCAGAATCCTTGGGGATTCACTTTTTTTCTACTCACGATAGCTCGTAATTGAGGATAGTTTGCAGCGATCGTTCGGCAAAAAGTGAATTGGAAATTTTTAATCCCAGTTATGTTTTGTGTCGTTTTCCTTACTGGAAACAATTCATTCTCCTGCTTTCTTGTAATAACTTCTAATGTAATAATGCTGACACACGTGGTCTAATTTCAAGTATGGTCTGCTGTCTCCTTTAATTTTCGTCGTGCAGCATGGCACG